ATGTCCAGTCTAAATCTGCTCTCTGCTAGCTTATGGCCATTATTTCTTGTAACCCCCAGGGGCACCTTGGTGAGTAGAGCCTCACCAATTCCCTTCTTTGCCCCCATGATGAATTTATAGGCAGCCACAAGGTCGCCTCTCAACCTTCTCTTGCGGAGGCTGAAGAGGTTCAGGTGCCCTGGTCTCTCCTCGTAGGGCTTGGCCTGCAAGCCCTTAACCATAAAAGTGGCCTTTCTCTGGACCCTCTCCAGGTTATCCACATCCCTCTTGAAGTGTGGCGCTCAAAACTGGATGCAGTATTCCAACTGCGGTCTGACCAGTGCCCGATAGAGGGGAAGTATCACGTCCTTGTTTCTGTTTGTCATGCGTCTGCTGATGCACGATAAAGTGCAGTTAGTTTTGCTGATGACTTCGTCGCACTGACGACTCATGTTCATCCTGGAGTCCGCTAGGACTCCGAGATCCCTTTCTACTTCCTTGCCACCCAGCAGGTCATTCCCTAGGCTGTAGGTGTGCTGGACATTTTTCCTCCGTAGGTGCAGCACTTTGCATTTCTCCTTGTTAAATTGCATTCTTTTGTTTTCTGCCCATTTGTCCAACCTGTCCAGGTCTGCTTATAGTTGTTCTCTGCCCTCTAGTGTGTCCACTTCTCCCCACAGTTTTGTATTATCCGCAAACTTGGACAGAGTATGCTTCACTCCCTTGTCCAAGTCACTGATGAAGACATTGAAGAGTATTGGTCCGAGGACCGAGCCCTGCTGGACCCCACTGCCCACGTCCTTCCAGGCCGAGAAGGACCCATCCACTACCACCCTCTGGGTGCGGCTCTCTAGCCAGTTGGGGACCCATTGGACTGTGTGGGTGTCTACGCTACAGTCCCCCAGTTTCCTAATGAGAACGGGGTGAGAGACAGTGTCGAAAGCCTTCCAGAAGTCCAGGAAGACTATATCCACTGCTACCCCTGCATCCAATGATTTAGTGACCTGATCGTAGAAGGCCACCAGGTTGGTCTGACATGACCTGCCGCTGATGAACCCGTGCTGGTTGCCCCTGAGCATGCATTTCCCTGCTGGCCCCTCCGGGATGTGTGCCAGAATAATTTTCTCGAACAGCTTGCCCAGGATCGAGGTAAGGCTGACTGGCCTATAGTTTCCCGGGTCCTCCTTCCTCCCCTTTTTGAAGATGGGAACCACGTTGGCCCTCTTCCAGTCCTCCGGCACCTCTCCAGAGCACCACGAGTGCTCATAAAGCTGCGCCAGGGGACTCGCAATGACCCCGGCCAGTTCCTTTAGAACTCTAGGGTGGAGATCATCCGGACCGGCTGACTTAAAAACGTCCAGCCCCCCAGCAGCTTCCTAACTAGATCCTCACTTACCCTGGGCTCAGGTGTGCCTCCCTCGGGGCCCGATGGGAGTTTCTCAGCTCCAAGCCAGGGGATGATATTTCCCGAGGAACAAGGTTAAATTAACTAAAATCTATAGAGTAAAATGAACAAGGGGTACAGGGTGACATTAAGGAGGAGCTATTAAATTAATTTAATTGGGATTGTTAAAGTGAAATGAATGAAAGGCAAAGGACTGAATGGGAGTGGGGATTATTCAGGAGGATTGTTCTGGTATGGAAATGGGGGATAGGCTGATGGAGACCCCGCTGCAGGGTACTGACCATGAGGTGCCCAGGCACAGGGGACTGTGGTGCGGGCAGAGATCCTGTGCTCATCCGGGTGCTTGGATGAGGGGACCTTTCCTGTCTCTGACTTCTGTGACGCTCTGGCTGATG